TTTTGCTGCGTAAAGCTCCTTCGTATAGTATAAACGAGACAGAGACGTTTTACTCCGCGAAGAGCGACTCAATGTCGTAGCTGATGCTCTTTCGCGTCAGCCCGATTTCGAACCGGCTGCGCAATCCGAAACGGTTCCGACCACTTTTTCGGTGTTGACGTCGAATGTCTCGTCTTCAACCTTGATAAAAGATATATGAAAGGCTTACTGTCCGGTAATGATGCGATTGATGCAGTATCTCTTGAAACTATCCCGTCAATCCCTCAAAGGTCTACCCCCAGTATACTTACCCTTCACGTACAGATTAACAGTCTAATAATGGTTTATTGAAGCGTTCAGCCTTTGCTGGTGACACGAGTCGTGTCGTCGTACCGAACCATGGTGACCTGCGACTGCGAACACGTGTTTTTTCATGTGTGATTAACACGATGCCCCTACTGGTGGACATCATGGTCGAAAGAAGACAGATCTCACATTCAGTCGTGACTTTTACTGGACTCGTCAATATCAGTTCGTGCGTTAGTACGTCCGCGAATGAGAAGTATGTCAACGAGTGAGGTCTGGTCCTTCTTTTAGGGCGCCATTTTAGCCCTTTAACATAAAGCAAAATGCTGGTACTCTGTCTCAAGGGACGTTGTATTTGAATTCCCCGCAGAACCACACAAAATACTCGTTTGACTGGCTTGTCGCGATGAGAATAATGTGCCCGCTCATTTACAAGCTGGGCAAAAGCAAAATCTGAAAGATCCCTATCCCGTTCCGAGGAGATGCGATTCACATTGCCGTAATAAGCCAGACGGATGTCTCTCTTGGGCTCGAGGTCCTCACGCAACTCACGCGCTACACTCTCGAACTGACTATCAGTTTCATCTTGGACCTTTATATCCGTATGAGAATGTGTTTCTCTTCCGCCTCATCCATTGATTGATGCGCGTTGTGGCCAAAGCTTCTTCTTGTAGGGCTTGCTGAACCACCGCGACGGGAGGAGACGTCGGACGAGTTACCTTGTCCGGTGGTGCTGGTATCCACCATCGGCAGATACATAAAGCCTCACTCTCAAAATCCAAGTGATGTTTTGGGCCTTGTCGATCAGTTTACAATATGCATACAATGCCGAAGAAGGCCCATCGGAGAAAGAACACACGAGAGCTTGTAGAGGATTGTAAATTATCTATTCCCTTGAACATCTCTTTAGTGACACTTGCCCACAACCAGGATTATCAGTCAATGAGTAGTATTAGAGTCTCGTGTTCAATTATTAACAGAACTTTGGCACGTATCACCCAAGAGAGGCATGGTAGTCTGGCCTCTCTTGTTAGCCTACGCAGTTGAATTGTGCACTGGTATAGGTCCGCTTTTCAAACTGATTTAGAGCCAGCAATAGCTTGTCCAGCCAGGCAACACGCCCAATTTCATCAACGCTGTGGATTTAAGCGTTCCATGGATGAATTAACGATGGACCTTCGCGTGATTAAACCTTTACCAATGATGCTTAAAGAACGCATCGATGAGTTACCGTCTTTGGTGCGAAAGCTACTCGCACTAAATCAAGCTGATATAGCGTTAATAAATCGATCATATTATTCGATAACGATCACTCGTCGTGTCAGACAGACGAGCCAACACTCTCTGAGGAGGTAGCCACGGCTTCTTCTCAGGAGCAACGCGCGAGATTTTTCAATCCCCAGCCTTTTTACCTGGCGTCACAGAAGTACCGACACCATGATCATCCTGATACCCAAGAATTTTATGCATGGCTTCATTAGTTTCGATGTCGTCCTGTTCTCCAGAGTTACCGCCTTTCTCTCTGTCTGCCGAACGATTACATCTTGATAGAGGAGGTTCTCGGACAATCCGATTATGTTACAACTCTCTTCAAGCCTCAAAGCGCTTCGGGACTCCGACTAAACCGGCTATAATTTAGCTGATTCTGGATCATCCTTGGAGTTCGCCTCCTCCGAGTCGGTCTCACCATCAGACTTGCCAGAGTGTATGAGCTCGAGCTTCGATCACCGCGTGCGCCTGCAGCAGTAACTTCTGCAGGCCAAGCCGTGAAAGCATAAGACGAACTTACGTCAGCTGCTTCGGGTGATCTTTTTTCCCTGCGATAGTGAAATGGAGTCTCATCGCAGTATTCTCAGCAGCTTTGGCTGCATACCGCATGACTTGTTCAGTATGTGATGAATGTGAAGAATGTTTAAATACGAAAAAGTGCTGTCCTGTCCCATAGTTACTCATAATAATCACTTAAATATCAATCAGTCACTAACGTGACTATTGGGTAAAATGTGGTGATGTGACGGGGTGCCTTCGTTACATGATGATTTACATAAGGTAATCATCAAGTATGAATATTATGTTCGAAAAATACATTACATTCTCACAAAATTATTTAAATGGGTGATATTGTGATGCACAAGTCATACCCTGTTATTTATTCGATTTAGAATCAAAATATCAAAGAATAAAGTCCAGCTACGATAGACGCGCGCAATTAGTGGTACGCAAGTAGTTACAATACATGGTCGCATTTAGACAGTGGTAAGTGAAGTCAACGAGGGATTTGTCAAAAGGAATTGTTATTCCCACCGCACTTTTTACTAATATCACCACACCACAACACTTGTATGAATAACTACAGACGCGCCTCGCATAAACCACCACAAACCCTTACACAGATAGTTGGAGACTTTTTAAGGAAAAACATCGATATTGAGTGCGGAAATTAGTCGGGAGCCAGATAATTTGTTTGCGTTCCCTATTTGGATTATGCCTTCATTGCCTACTGCAATTTTAAAGCCCAAGAGTCAAGCCATTTTCACACAATTTCCAATCATACTATATAGACCGCAATCCATCGCTTTAGCATCTGATACAAAAGCTGGATGACAAGCTTAGCTACAATTGCATAACCACCAGCGCCAGCTACACGAGAATTAAGCGACAACAAGTAAAATGATGGAAGGTGAGACAAGACTTTAAATTGTAGAGAGGGTGTATCTGCTGTGTAAGATACCTTCGTTGACGTATATGCTATCTACAGCGAGTGATAGTTTTACAGATACTAGGTCGAGATAGTCACTGAATTCGTATACCAGTGCCAGCGAGACGCTTAAACGGCAAGACCAAAAGCGTATTTATTCCATGAGACGTATTACCTCGTACAGAGGTACTTACTACCTCACTGGACGCAATTCTGATAGTCCAATGTATGCAGGAGATTAAATACTTGCAAAATTCGTGTTACTTTATCAGATTTTTACCAAGTGAGAAAACGATCAAAGGTTCTTGTTATAATGCTTAGGAAGTCTAAGCGAGGCATCAAGTCCTAGTGGTCTAAAACATCTAGATGCTTCCCGAGACTTATTGCAATGAGTACTGCAGTGACAGGAAGAATGTAAGGCGATGAAAGGCTTCAACTTTTTGCGCTTACTCAGCAGACCGAAAGGCAAGTTGCGCACAACAATAAAAAATGCATCATTCGATCGTTTTGAAACGATCACAGGCTATTATCGCAAGTCGAGGGTGCGCTCACCGTATTTTGTAGTTATGGGCGGGTTGGGAGTGAAGCTGTGGTTAGGTAGTGTGGTTTGGCGTGATGCGCCTGTAGTTTTCAAAACACAATTTAGGGCGAGCTGTAAATAATATTAATAAGTGTGGTGGAAATAGTTAAAAGTTTGGTGGAATCAACAATTCCCTCATGAAAAGGATTTACTGTACTGAATACAGTTCTGTTTTTTTACCTTTACTGGGTAATATTACCCCGTATAGCGATCTTCCTCTGCACGTACGTGTACGTGAGGGAGTCGGACGCACACACCCTTGTACTGTCAGCAGTGCAAGTAGTTAGCTGTATAAGGTGTACTCCGTTACGGTGCCCGTGTAAAGGTTTTTCAACCAATCGTTCTCGAGCGTCTAAATCTTCAAACATTTGTAACATTTAGACACAGCGCTGTCCAATCAGACATGCATCGATATTGCGGTTTATGCATACCGAATTATCATTATCGGAGAACCTAGCCATACAATCGAAAAATTATGGACTCTTTTCCCTTTTTCTGGTTTAACTACACACGCTTAATGGTAAAATTTAAGCTGGTGGAGTAAAAGCCGATTTTGGTAATCTAGCATGGCTTGTTTGCCACCCTTATGTGGTCGCCACAGTCCAGCATGCGATACTTACTCGCTCTCTCTAGAGTCTGTACCCAAGCAGAAGAAGCTAGAACAACGATCGACATGGTAGGCGGGTTGATGACCAAAGAAACACTTGCGTGCATAAGCATCCGGCTAGTAGTCGTGCACTAAACCGGTACCAAGTAAAATTGGTTAAAATATGACTTATTTATTTAAACTCGCTGAACTTGTTAATAATATATTGAAGCTGCACCGACGTGGATATAGCTGCTTTCGAAGGATCAAACATGGCATCTCTGATATATCCGATTCGTTTCATTTATTTTACATAATAATATCTTCGAACTGATCAAAATAGTGCACTGAACAGGTCATTTATCGTAGTAGTTCTTTGAATTAACCTTTGGCCATCTAAAACTCGGATCGCTATCACAGTGAAATATCTTAGTTTTGGCGCTAGCAAACCTTTTAGCATGGCCGTATCTCAAATATGAAAATGCGTACACCGGATTACAATCATTAACATCTAGCTAAATCGATTTAGCAAAAATCTAAAAGAAGCGGTATTGTAATGGATTGGAGTACATGCCAGAAGCTACACAAAGCACGAACGTTTACGTACGCATTAGTTCGTTGAAGGAGACTAAATGTGCTTAGCAGGTCAAGTAAGTATAGTTTGAATTGTCGTCAACCGATTCAGAAATATGTGGTTGCTGTCTTCGTGCTTCACATCAGATTACATTTCATACAAAGAGGTGGCGAGTTGAAATCTGGCTGTCTTCGTGCTTCGCACTTAGATAACAATCCTTACTGGTGGCGAGCTGAAATCTTGATGCGTCATACTACTCCATTGACGTTGTTGTACATTATACCTTTTGTCGCTTGGACCCACAAGCACTACAACGCAGAACTCGTTTATTTGTGCAGTATTCCAAATCCATCCGGCGGCAAAGTTCGTGCAGAAACGAACGCATCCACTTGTGGCTATTACCTCGCGACGTCACGAAATTGCTCAGCGTCGTTTCTCGCTGCGCCAGTGGACGAAGCAGGTCGCGGAATGCTTGCTCCACTTTCGCTCGCTGTTCCTTTGCCATCATCGTTTCGCCAGTGAACACGTGACAAGCAATCGTCGACAGTAGCGGTAGTTCTTGGTCCAGTTGCTGTCCAAGTGCCAGGTGAACATCACGGAACTTGGTGATTGTCCCGCCACGAGCAAGGCTTTCGCGTGCAAAAGCGAGATTGATAAACCTGAAGTTACAGTGCTTTCTTCCACGGGCAGACCAGAGCAGCTCAAGTATGTGATCAGCTTCACACTCAGACAGCAAGAGAACTTGACCGTTTCGAAACACCAGTACGACATCAATCATCCGTAAAAATGCGTTCATCTGCTCCGCGCTCGTCTGTGTGTTACACGTTCCGATTGTTGTAAAAAAGTTCACAGTGCCAAAGATCCGCGAACTCGACCAAGCCAGACTCGTCATCTCCTTCGGTATGACCGATTGACCGATAAAATCTGTCATCTCCACCACCTGCACAACTCCGTTAAGGTCTTTCACTGACCTGGCACACAAAATCTTCTCGTACTTCCAGACCTTCTCTTCGATCGGAACACACTTCATCACTTCAACTTCTCGCTCCTGAATTATCTCTTCCTCGATCTGGAGCTCTCGTTCGCACTCGTCGGTGTGTGAAGTCACACACACTTCATCGTCGAGTCCGTACACAAATCCCCTGCAACAAATTTCGTCGACCACCGCATCCGCAGAGAGCTTGGAATCGAGGTGCGCCTTCGAGTCAATGATCTTCGCAATTTTATCCACATGTAGCTTTTCTTGGTACATCGTCTCCAACGACCAGTTCTCATCAACCAACTCCTTGTTCGGGTTCAGCTGCGTCTTCCGAAAAATGGATACCATTTCCTGCCCAGTCAAGCAATCCACGCACTGCCTCCGCTTTCGTGTTGTCCATCACCCAATTCAGCACATCGATTACAGACACACGTGAAAGTGCATGTTTTCCACTTGTTTGAAGGACGCTCTGCGCGACTTCATCAAAACTAGCGATCCACAGCGTCTGATTGCATCCAGGTTGCCTCATTCGTCCTGCACCTTGCATCAGTTTATCTTTAGTGAGCTTCGGCCCAAGTGTTAAAACGGCGACTGCGTCTGGTAGCAGCTTCATGTCTGACCCTCGCGAGCGCGCTTCATCAAAAATGACAAACGTCTCCTTCTCAAGCATCGAGGACTTTTTCAGCGGCAACTTGATCCCCCGAGCCTTTTCTGCAATCATCCAGCAGTTGTGCTCTTTCCTGCTGTCATAGAATGTTACGCCAGCAAACGCAAAGTCAGCTTGTTTGAGAACAAAGTCCGCTGCTCCATCATTCGCCACACCAGCGAGAAGGGCACCAGTATCGATAAGAGCTTGTGCTTTCTTGTCGATGGCGAATAAAAGCACACTCTGCCATGGTATTAGTCCGCGTCTCGGACTGGGATTGATCACCTCGTAACTGTGTGTCACCCGTATGATCTTGTCGATCATCTTTCCATTCGTGCCCAACAATGACGGCTCATTTGGCTCTCGTTGCGCCACCGAAAGTGGGAGCAAACGGTGATTATCGTTCGTACCGGAGAATCCGATCGTACAGTCTCCTGCTGCAAGATTCCACGCTGTTCGGGACAATCGTTGCGGATACTGCTGCGTATCGTTGGGAAACACACATGTGTTCAAGAAGAAGTTTATCGCCTCCATGCAGTACTTGTAGACTCGACACAACGTCTCGAATTGTCGGCTGTCAGCAAGACTAATATGGCGCACGTTGCACAGAGCCACCCGATCAGTGTCAGTTAATCCCGGCTCGACGCTGACAAACCATCGATCGTACTGATGCTCTTGCTCCGAGATGTCCAAGCGCAACAGCACCTTGAACGCATCTCGGACCTCCTCCTTTGTCAGGCCGCCGTGGTAATATCCAAGCAGAGTGAGCACGATACAAACGTCAGGGTGGCTAAATTCTGACCGTTCCGATGGAACATCCGCAGCAGAGAACGGAATGGCAACCTTTTTTGCCGTGTACCACAAACTGGAAGTCCAAAGTCGACTCGATAGCGTTTCTCCAAGCAATGCTCGAGCACTCCGAATGCCACGAGTCCTCTCATCGCCAGTAATTGAGCTACGAAAGGCGTAATTTTTGCCAAGCCGTCGCCAAGAGCTTCCTGTAGACTTACGGTCGAATCAGTAATAGCCGTGACAATTGATGGTCGTGCAGCATTGCCACCAAAAGTATTTAGCCACATCAGTTCAAATGGAGCTTCGTCGATGAGATCCAGCACTAAGGCCTCTTTGAGTTTATGGCGCATGAGTTTCGTGCTTTCCACAAGAGTGTTCAGCCGAGTACCGTCGTATGAACCCAAGCGGGTGACGTAGTCTGGGGAAAAGCAGGAAACATGTGCAGCTTGTAGCACCTTACGGACGCGAGAACTGGCTGTTTGATTTGCCACAACTCGCAGTACAGCTTCTGTGACCGTCCACCGTTCCATTCCACTACCAAGAGGAATCGGTGTACCGACCGCATACACCAAATGATACTTGTGATGGAGTATTGCGTCACACTCATCAAGAACATCGACAAATTGGTTACTATCAAGGATTGCATCGAGTATCTCCACCGCAGGATCATCATTACCTGATTCCAGGCGTTTGAGCTCAAGTGACATGCGATGTTCCGGAGCTACCACTTGAATACCACCCGAACGCTTTAGCTCTGCAAGTGTGTCACGGACAAACTCAAGCCTGCGCAGATCCAAGTCAACCTTTCGGTGGAACGGCTGTTCAAACACGTCTAAGCGAGCGCCAGTTGCTGACAAATATCGATGCATGAATTGCCGGGCTTCGCTCAGCAATGGACTTAGGAAATGGGCACGGATGACACGTGAAGGGCGATTTTGAGCGAAATACAGAAAAAGCATGGGTAGGATCACTCAGGTCTTACCACGCCCCATGTTGAGCTGGCAAACTGTTCCTGGGCGATCGATGAGGTGGCGAGCGATCACAAATTGCTCATGTCGAATCTGGAGTCTACCTTCCACTTCGAACGCCAACCAGTATGGATGTTCCGCCGACTGCCACTGGCGCGTGTTCATCAGCTCATCAATCATGATGGTGTTCGAGACCTCACCACTACGCCTCGCCATCCAGATAAGCCTCTTCAACTTATCTTCAAGTACGCATAATTCCATGTAATTGAATACATCTTTCGTTACCAGTTCTCTCGATGTTTCACTCAACTTCGGCGCCAGTGTGTGCAGAGTAGCTCCATCAAACCCACAGCGGACAATATCACTTACAGTAAGCAACGGCAAGAAGTTTGCAAGCTTCAGAAGGCGGTCATAGGTGCTGCTTCTCGCTTTCGTAACGCAGTCCCGTACACAAGTTTCCATCTCGATACGATGAGATGATACTTCTTGCAGAACCGTCTCAAATGCGTCAAGTAGCACAGCTGGCTCAGCCTTCAGCCGTGCTTCGCTTTGCGAGTGGTAGCTATCCCAGCTCGATTTCAATTCATCCAACATCCCTGTGCCCATGGCGTTTGTGGAATTGCAATCCAGTGCAAATGTTGGAATATGTTTCACTTTGCTTGCGTCCTTCCAAAGAAAAAGTCCAAGGCGTTTTTCGATAGACCTAACGTAGTCGTCAGCTACTGAGGATGAGTCACACGTGATTGCTTCTTCTACTGAAAAAGATACCGACGAGTGTTGCACATGACCAAGAATGCGCCCCTCTTCCTTGCTTCGCAATTGCGATCGCAAAGGATTACGCTGGACTTGGTTCGAACACATGTTCGCATACTCCGTTTTCTCATCGGTACTTTCCATCGCCGGAGCAATTGTATGCGTTTGCCCGAAGAGAAACGCGAGGCGGTTAGCGTCTGTGCGTAATGCCAAAACCAAGATCTTTACCGCTGGCTCACGGTAGCTCAACCTGTATATCGACAATAAAGCTTCGTTTTCCGCGCCCGAAAATGGTCGACTCGACCTGCATGCTCGTAAAATTTGTATCGCTGCCTCTGATCCGGTCATACCCAATCGCTTGCTCGGCACGTCCGTTCCAGCTCGAGCACAGATAGCAGCAAACTGCAGTCTTGCATAAATGGTCTCGGTCTCAAATGTCTTCAATCGGCGGTGAATATCGTAGCATGCCACGTCCATAACCCTACTTGCCTCGCCACAAATTGTGATATCGACCACGCCATCAGCTGCTTCCTTCACAACACCTACCGGAAGTAGCAAGCGAAGTTCTGGTCGAGATGTGTCGGAGCTGTCTTTCAACATGAGCACCAAGTATCGCTGAAACCTTGGCAGAAAATCGTCAAACTGCTGATTTGTCGCTAGAATATAGCCTTTGTGCTCCACCGATTCAAACTGCGAGATGCCATTCAGATAGAATGACAGCTTGAATCGAGGCAGCTCAATGCGTACTACTCCATCAGGTGATTTTAGCGGATGAAGAAACCGTGCTTCTTCGAACTTCACCAGCACGTCAAACACGGTGAGAAGCAATTTCTCTGTGCACACAAAACGGTCGTACACATCGAGATTTTCCATCAGTTCGCCATAAGGCCGCGTCGTGTCGCTGACCGGTACTCTGTAGCATTGCATTAAACCATCTTCGTCAACTTTGGCAACGAATAACACGTCTCGACACTTTGCCTCTTTCGGACGAAAGAGAACACAGTGCATTTCCGCCCAATACCAGTGCGAATACAGACTCTGCAACCGAGCTGGGAGATTGGTCAGAGTTTTCACCCAACTACTGGAACACAACTGTAGCGTCATGATAATGTCACCCGAAGTATCAGATGTCAGCTCTTGAACATGCAACTCTCCATCTTCGAGTGTGAAGTCGTACAAACGATCATTATACTTCCGCTCGCTTCGAAAACACGCCATTCGAGGTAAGGACTTTGAAATTGCAGTGGCCGAACAAAGTCCGAAGTTCTCGTGCTGACGAATGTCGGATGGAAGACCTCCAGGAGCGTGACCATCGGTAAGAACGAGACCCGTGAAAAGGTTGATTGAATAATGCACATTTGCCTCCTCATCAGTTGCTTCGAAGCAGCTGCCAAATTGCCCCTTCGCAAGCGAGAGCTCACGAAACTCCTTCCATTCCAATCGTCCAGGGGCCGTCGCGCTTACCAAACGCACTAAGTCGGTAAGCGCATGGTCAATACCATGAGCTTTTACGTAAGCCACAATCTCAAATATTCTGCGAGACATTACTTCTGCAATCATATTCTCTGTACGACGCATCTGCTCAGTACACTCCAGATCAATGCTGGCACAAACATTCTCTGTACGACGCATCGGCTCAGTACACTCCAGATCAATGCTGGCACAAACAAGCGAGACATTACTTCTGCAATCATATTCTCTGTACGACGCATCTGCTCAGTACACTCCAGATCAATGCTGGCACGTGCGGAAAAGCACAATTATTTCACACACTGCTTGAGCTGATGCGTTGTCCCACGGTCCAAGGCTGTGGGCAAGCAGTGCAATACCATACAGCACACACTCTTTTTGACGAATCTCAGCAACACCGCTGGGTGCCGCTTTCTCTCTGTATTCTAAACAGGCGTTTTCCGCCCAGATTCTCGCCATTCCAGCAAACATTTTTACAATTCCTCTTGCCTCATCCGTAAACTGCGCTGCAAACCCTGCCAGCTCACTCAGAAGCGGGACGGATTCAAAGTCGCGAGGAGTCTGTTTCAACTTCCGTGCAATGTTCATTAGCGTCGCGCAGAACGTGGTCAGGCCGTTGTGTCCATCGAACATGTCAGACTTCCAAAGCAGCCGAGGGAGCAATTCGTCAGTAAACGCACCTACTTGGTAGATTGACTGCCGCACGATGATCGCCGCGCAGCAGTTCGACCACGGCAAAACATCATCAAGTAAAGCCCACTGCAGTTTTCGATACTGCTGATTAGGAAACGCGCGCAATGAACCGAGCGCAATATACGACATCTTATCAGAATTCTTGGGTTGGCGGTTAAACTTGGCATATACCATGTTTCCTCGAGTATGTTCCATACCAGGCCAATCATTCATCCACTGAAAATGCCTGAGCGACTGCGGCATCTTCTCGATATAGCTATCGATAATGCTCGATGCAGTGGCAGCAAAAGGGTCAACTTTGGCACCGAACGCGTCACTCCAAGATAGAACTGTGCCACCTAAGGTAGGATTCCAAACACAGGAGATTCTGTACTGTGCGAGGTTGTACAAATCGTCCACACTGGTAGGTCCCCATGTCCTTGGAAGCGTGAACGGACTCGGACTCGCTGTGAACACCACACTGGTCACAGTCATCATCCGTTTTTGTGCACGCTCGTAGTAGAATTGTTGCCATGTGGTGGAGTTTTGCTTCGGCAAAGTTGTCATTTCAGACGTCACAGTGGCAGGAACAAGGGACCGTTGAGCAGTCAAGCACAAGCTACCCATAATTTCAAGATGGCGCGGCACGGTCAGCATAAAGATCACTTGAATCGCGTCGTCCCGCGAGGGCGGAAGTGGGCGTACCAGATATGGAGGGGCCAAAAGAGCTGCTTCCAAATTTGCATTGGTTTTCTTGATAGTGGAGCAAATGTAATCGATCTCGGAATTCAAACGCCGCATGAGACGACTGGTGTATCGTCTATCTCCATCCGAGTCGTAACTTGTCTGTAAACGGGACCTCTCAGTTGTGAGCGAGGCCTGTTTTAACGCTAGATTCTCGTTTAAATCTGCAATCTCTCTTCGATATTTTATAACGTCACTCTTCTTCTTTTCAATCTTCTCCCACTGTTTCACTTCGTAAGATTCCCATGTCTCAACTTCGCGATTGTACACGGTAAGCATGCTGGTACTACTCAAACCGAACCTCCTGCCAAAGTCAAATGTTGGTGCTTGGTTACTCAAGTGAAATAGCGGAGGTCGCATAGTAGTAACATTCCACCTGCGAATGTATCGTGCGACACATCGAAGAGCAGAAATGGCTGCTCGATTATTGAGTACAGCCACTCGTAGATCTTTCCAATTCAGAGCGATGTTGTACTGCGCGCATAATGTAAACTCACCCACGCATCTCTGATGAACGAGGCAAAATGCAGTCCACATAACAAGCATTTCGTGACTGCGCTGCTCCACGTCCAGCACGGACGTCATTCGTGGAAGCTGACGCCACGACCATACAACTTGCTGGTATTGACCAACGAGTGTTTGCATCTGTTCCAAGCTGTAACTATTGCCAATCTGTTTGTTGCACGATCCTTCTTCGTTTAACACCAAATCCTTCTCAAACATAAACGCTTCGAACGTCCTCAGCGTCAAAATACATTTGTACGATGCTGGAGAGTCGTTTGTCTTGTGCCACCGCAGCACTTCGTCTAATGTGCACGATTTACCATTCAAAAGGTAGCATCCTTGTAAATTGGTCCACGCTCGTTGGTGACGTGCATCGTTGCTCTCACTACTTTTGCCATCCGTGTTCCACGTTGGCGAAGTCATGTCCATCACGCAACTTACATCATTTAGCTGCTGTAGCCGTGTACTACCCGGCAAAGTGTACTTTGTTGCAGCCCGGCAGTTCATATCGTCAACATATTCATCAATGCTAGAGCGAAGAGAAGCACATTGTTATTCAAGCATCGAGACCTTGTAGCCACACTTCACAAGTTCAGCCGTGCCTATGATAATGACTTGCAACATGTAAAATAGATCGTCCACTAAGGCACATCCACCTTTCACGCCGATGCAGATAAAAGTGCTCTTTGCATTGGTCACTGCAGCGTAGAGCAGTTTCAACTTCATTGCGATCATCGTTTTTCGAAACAAACCCGGTCCACAACAGAGGTTGCATTCGATCACTGCTTGGACAATCGCCCAGCACGTATCGCGCGCCTGACCTCCAGTATGCAGCCCCACGTCTGTCGTGCCTCCTCTTGGAGCAATACCAACAGAATTAGCCTCTTTTGTTAATAGCGTTACAGCCCGTCTCACAACGGCAGCAATAAACTGTGGAGTCTTTTGATGCCCCAATTCATTCCTCGCTGCACTTCTCTTTGATCCCTTACTCGTCTGTGCATTGCGTAGCTCCGAATCAAAAGCTACCGAGAATTTCACTGCCAGCTCCATGTCCAGGTCTGCACAGTGCACAACATGGTGTGTCGTAGCAACAGCACTGTGAATACACTCACCTGACGGTACAAAGTGCAGCGTCTGCTCCCACCCATCAGCAAACACCACTTCAATCCGCACCGTCACAGCATTCAACTGCGTACGCTGGACCGCACATCCGTACTTCGGCAGCCACGGATCACACCACACGTCGCCTATCCCACTCTTTGCACCTCTCCGTGGTGACGCCCGAACAAGACACTCACCCACTTTCTTCAGCACTTGCACTTCATGAGCTGCAAATGCCGACGCAGGAACAACGCGATCGTCTGCAAGAGGTTCGACGCGACCGCACGGCAGTTCATAGGCTTCTGTGGGCTGCAAATCCGCTATGAACGCAGCCACGTACGTGGCTAGGGCAACACACGTTGCTGCCTCTTGGTTATCACTTGGAGCCTTGTGTTTAAAGCGAAACACGCAGTTCAAGAGCTGCTCGTCCATTTTCAAATAGTCTTTTATCCGCTCTTTGTCTGTGGTCCAGGAGGTAAATGCACAACTGAGAGTTAGTAGAGCAACGGCATCGAATGCTGCTTCTCTCGATGGTATAACGGGATGCCGTTGCAGCGAGCTCCAGCGCCTGTGCCCATGCGATCCCGTTGCGTTCGCGACCGTCGGCAGTTGCTCGTCATCGGACCATGTTATTGCTCGAAGTGTTGACAGGAGGTGACGTAAACGATTATAGCCAATCAGAAGTCGTCTTTGACTTGTCCACCTGATTCCAATGTTGCAATGAGCACCGTTTTCGCACTTAATGTGGATACGCGGACACACGAGTGTTACACCCATTTGTTCGTTTTCGCAACGAATCCGATCGCACGAATACACGATACGAGCAAGCGCGTATACACGTTCGCATGCTCCGTGCAGTCGTGACGGTGGCAATGCACGACTGCGCTGCTGCTAATAGCATGTGGCTACAGAGTGTGCGCTGGATGGGTAGTGGACGTACTTATTCAATCATAAGTAAAGAAGAAGGCCTGTGTTGTTGGTCAAACGAAGTGATTTGTTTACAATTGAAGACACCGGAGACTCCTTAGTATTACTGCCCGCCCGAACAATTTATAATCTAGCATCCTGTCGCGTCATTCCACCAGATTTTTTTTTTCGTTGTTGTCGAGGATGCCATCGAAGAGCTAAATAGCACGTCAGTGGTCTATGTTCTGGTCTCAACAAAATCGTGCGGGACGCCATGATCGCTCGATCAACGAAACATGTACTGCATGCACGAATCTACAGCATTCGCATGAGCTTCGTTGGGTTTTACAATAGGACTTATTGGGCCAGAAGAAGGCCCTTAGCACACTGACATTAAAGTTGTTGCCAACACTTATCACCAAGTCACACGGCCCTCGGCTCCAACCGTATGGGCCTTGATCAAGATAAGATCATCAACTCCCTTACTACGCATGGTGTTTCGCAGCTGTACGTGAACAGCGGTGACGACATCTGTTTTGGTGCATTACTTGTAATGGGGTAACCCGTTACATGATATTGTCACCAAACGGTGTCAATAGGGAGATTGTCCAGCGTGACAATTCCCTGTCAATATTATCTGAGATGGATGATATTCATGCGCTGCTCAAAGATAGGTTGATATAAGAAAAATCAACCAAGATTATCACCAATCGATGCTAGACGCGTGCAATGAGTGGTGAGCAGGTTGTCGTCATACGACAATGTAGATTAATATAGTTAGATAAAGGTTAAAGTTGTATTGATAGCTTAACTGTATTATAAACAGTTCTCTTTTTACCCTTTACTCAGCTCAGTTGTTCAGTAGAATAGCTTCGTCTGCACGTACAAGTGTACGTGAAGAGTCGTGGCACCCAGACAAAAGGTGCACCGTTACACCTGGTAGCATTTTATAGTTCGTCCAACGACTACTTAGTTTCCGTCCAACATGTTCATGTTGGACGTAGAAGACGACAGCTATCACGTCACGTGTGACGTGATAGCTGTCGTCTTCTACGCTACTCCTATCTGAGTGACTTAGAATGGGAGGTAGTCGGCCGCATGAGTGTGCTCATGGGCGAACCCGCCATCAGTGGCATGTTGGAGTCTCTATGAAGGGACAAGTAACATGCAGCTATTAACAAGTTTTTACAAGGGGATCTTGCCGATGAACGACAGAAGATAGCCTTGCTACAGCAGCAAGGCTCTCATCAGTCGATGGGCGGGCCAACGCACATGCGTCGACCCAAAACCTTAAAGACAGATATCTCAACGTACAAGGGAACTGATGAAGATTTCCTTTTAAGATGATTCGTCGAGTCAGACGACGCCATCAGGGCCCGTCTCATCGAGGGTGACGAGATGCAAGTCATCTTCGCCCTGTCAAATTTGACAGGACGAGCATAGACTTGGGCCTTAGGGCTCGAGCTTAACTACCCAACGTGTTGAGTCGTTAGAGATCTTGAAGTCTCGGATCAAAGAGACGTTTGAGCCGCCACGAGCCGAGTTCAGAGCACGCTTTGAACTCCTGAGGCTCAAGCAAGGTAAGCGTGATGCGCACGCTTACGCACAGCACCTGCGCTACCTTGATAGTAGCGTCACAGAAACCCCTGTTTATGAGCACACACTCATCAACGTATTCATCTACGGCCTTGTAGATGGGCCGGTGAAGACCTTCATGTTTCGAGTGGTCTTCCATACGCTGGAAAGGACGATAGCGTATGCGGAACAAGAAGACTTCGGCCTGAGACAGTCTCAAGCTAACTCGTCCAACTATCGTCGACGACATGACAGGAAACAGGAGGTCCCGAACTAATGGACCTCTGTTACATCTAGAGCAAGAACTCTCGCTCTCTGAGTCACAAGCGAACGGCGAGATGCCATCGCTGTCAGAAGATTGGGCACCACGCTCATGATTGTAGTGTCCCAAGCACTGCATCACGTCCAAAAACATGACGTGATGACTGCCGTTGGCCGAGGAAAGGTCCGAGTCGCGGGTCCGACCATGTCGCTAAGCCGCGGCAGCTAGTTGGACCGCCGGAAAGCGGTCAGGGTCAGTAGGGGTGGAGCACCCTGCTGATCCAGCAACGTCAAGAGAATTTGCAGGACTCTTGACGAAGAAAGCTCCCAACACACAGTCGCTGTGTGTTACTGCCCCTAGTAATGAGGTGTCCTTCATCACTTTGAAGATCAAAGTGACAAGTGATATGTCTCTTTGCGCGCTAGTTGACTGTGGAACTTCGATTTTTATTCGACGCCAGTATCTAGAGGATAGTAGACTCAACTATGTTGAGCGAGAGTTCTCTCCAACGAGGATGACGGTTTTCCATGCTACCGGCGCATCCGTAACAGTGAACAAACGTGTAGTGGGAATCCACTACACGCTAGAAGGAAGGCAGTACGATGATGACTTCATCGTAATGGATTTGGATAAATTTTTTGATGTCATCCCCGATCTGCCATGGCCTAGAAAGTACCAGCCATGGATTAGCTGGCAGCATCGATCCGTGAATACGCCTGCCGTTTGTTCATCAGATGGCCACAAGAGTTTACATGTACTACGAGTGAGTATGATGGCCTCATTTGTGGTACGGTCGTTAGTATGACTGCACAAGATCACAGTGTAGAAGGCCACTACACTGTAGAACCAGCTTCCAGCACCTGTGTAGAGACGCAGGCTTCGCCGAAGGTTCACCACTCGAAGAGATCGAGTGGACTGGAACACGGATGCACACCAAGAAGGGTGCATTCAAGAAGAGAGATTAGTGTTGTTCAAGATGAACAACACGTTAACGCGAGACCGACTATCAAAGAGTCGATCGCAGAGCAAGCCCGATCGACTGAAAAAGATTCAATCGAAGAGTACGTGACTGTGGTAGTGCTCACACAGCCAGTACACGTATACGAAGAATGTTCCAGCGTTTCTAAGGGTGGTAATTCCCGAGAGAGTTATGTTGTGGGTGTGGATCCCCAACCATTTGCGGATGTGATTTCCCAGGAAATCACCGAGACAGTGAATGTCTTAGTGACTGACGGATCAAGTGTAGACGCTTAAACACTTGGTCTGGTTACACCTCCGAAGTCAGCTTCGAAGGAAATCCAGCTGCCAACGCTAAAATCTAAAAGATTCTTGCTAGATCTGCGTAGTGATAAGATCAAGCAGATCGGCGTGCTTGTCATAGAGGACGAGTACCTCGCCGTTTTTTGGTCGGCACAAGTGTTTACTGAGAACGAACGGGTTTTCAGTGGGATCAGCATGTTTCTTTTGTTTGTCCTGTCTATAAGCCATTGTGTCACATACATGTCGTAAGACATTCAATCGCGTAGCGAAAAAAACTTGCTCACCTGTTTCTAAACTGTAGTTGGGTTGGCATCAGCAAGCGGAT